TGTGTATGTGTGTTTTCCATTTTGATTGGCTGGTTTGAGATTATTTATTCTTTGTGTTTTCTTGGGTGCAGTTGACCTCTTTAAATTTGAGTCTTTCTTCTCGCCCCTTCTGCAGGGCTAGATTTGTGGACAGATGTTGCTTAAATTTAGTTCATCATGGAATGTCTTATTTTCTCTATCTGCTGTGATAGGAAGTTTTGCTAGATATAGTAGTTTGGGCTGCTATCCGTGATCTCTTAGAGTCTACAGAATGTCTGTGTAGGACCTTCTGCATTTTTAGACTCTCCATTGAGAAGTCAGGGGTTATTCTAGGTCTGTCTTTATGTTATTTGATCTTTTTCCCTTACAGCTTTTAATATTCTTTGTTCTCTATGTTTAGTGTTTGATTATTATGTGCCAAGGACACTTTCTTTTTCTGGTCCAGTCTATTTAGTATTCTGTGTGCTTTTTGTACCTTGATAGGCATCTCCTACTTCAGGTTAGGGTAATTTTCTTCTACAATTTTGTTGAAAACATTTTCTGTGCCTTTGACCTGGATTTCTTCTCCTTCCTCTATTCCTAATACTCTTAGATTTGGTCTTTTTTTTTTTAACAGAGTCCCCAGATTTCCTGAATGTTCTGTGACAGGAGGGTTTATATTTAACATTTTCTTTGATCTCAATATCCATTTCTTCTATCATGTCTTCAATGTCTGAAATTCTCTCTTCCATCTCTTGTATTCCATGAGTGAGGCTTGCTTCTGAGATCCTGTTGTGATTTGTTGAGAATTCATATGTGTGGCTTCCCAATTATAAATGGAAGATAACCGTGCAGCGTACTTCCTGGTTTCCTGCTTCTTAAAATCTTTCTGCCTCCTCTTTCACAATGTTCCATGAGCCTTATGGGTACCAAACTGTGGTGGGGTCCCATATTGTCAGTTATTCTCTGCATTTTGATCAGCTGTGGCTTTCTGTAATGGCTGCTGTCTGATGAAAGAAAAAGTTTAGTGGATGAGAGGAGACACACTTATCCATGATTATAAGGTTAATAGAGTTAGGATTAGGGATTATCCTGTCTTGAAAAAACAACAGTGCCAAAGTCTCCTTTAAGGTCCCATGATCTCACAGGCCACACCGCTGATTATAGCAGGTATGTTTCCCTTCCTGTTGAGTAACCTTAAGGCCAACTACACAGTTGTCAGTTACTGCCAAGATTTAAGTCCACTATAGCATGCTTAGGGACGTCTCTCCGTGATGGGTATTGTTGTCGTTCGTGGACATCGTAGCTGTAGGATTACTGATTATTTCTCTTGGCACCTTGCATACTACTTATTTTCTTTTACTTTAGACATCTTGATTATGTTCTGGGGAGGCTTTCCTTTGGCCATGTCTATTTGAGTCTCTAAATGTTTCTTGTAATTGAATGCTCGTTTTTTTCTCTATATATTTGAACATTTCTATTGTAATTTCATAAAACTGGTTCTATATGCCTTTCAAAATCTCAATTAAGTCTCCTATTCCATATATATTCTGAAATTTGAGATCTCGATCATTTGCCAGAGATCATGGATCTTGTGGTCATGCTTCTTTTTCTTATGTATGAGTGTACTATTTCCTTGCACCTGCCCTCCAACCCTGATATTCTTTCTCTATTTGGTTGAGTATATTGACATTTTCTATTGTTTTATATTTTTTTTATTCTCAACATTTTTGTTTTTCTTATCTTTGCTAAGAGAAAAGGGGAGTGGAATAGAAGGGAAATAAAAATGAGCAAAGGATGAGAAAATAATAGGAAACACTTTCCAGTAATGAGAAAGCCTGAAAACAAAGCTGCATAAATGTGACAAGAAAAATATAAAACAAATACAGAAGAGCTTCTTTTAATCATATGAAGTTGCCAGGCAGTAGTGGCACACGCCTTTAATCTCAGCACTCAGGAGGCAAAGGCAGGTGGATTTCTGTGAGTTCGAGACCAGCCTGGTCTACAGAGCAAGTTCCAGGATAGCCAGGGATACACAGAGAAACCCTGTGTCAATACACACCCCACCCCCAAAAAAGATAAAGTTAAAATAATATATGTATAAAAAAGAAGGGTGGTAGTGGCAAACAGAGCACAGCAAAGAGAAAGAGAGAGAGAGAGAGAGAGAGAGAGAGAGAGAGAGAGAGAGAGAGAGAGAGAGAGAGAGAGAGAGGAGAGACTGACCTATAATGAAAACGTATGTCAACAAAATTAAATGAATGGATGAAAGGACATAAAAATACTAATTTTTCTTTTTAATACAGGAAGGTTAAAAAGCTACTAAGTGAGGGTTAAAAGGGGCAAAAAGAAAAAAAAAGAGGAAGTGTTAGAGTGATCTCTAAGTTCTCTAGACTGTGTTTCAGGCACAGGTCAAGGGAAGGCCAGTTGAAGTTGTTCTGTCCTTCACGAGTGTCTGAGGCCCACCAGAGTCATGCTCACCTAAGAGTCGTCTTCTATTTGTATAGGAAGGAAGCTACCACAGCAGAGATTTGCAAAGCCCAGGACCTGCACTGTACTCTTTTAACCTCTAAGTGCTGGTCAGCCTGTCGCAAGGTGGATGTGGATGACAAGTACTCTGTGGGATCTTCACAGGAAGCAGATTTGAGATGGGCACCTTAAACTAGTTGGACATGCTGACATCATTCTTCAGGGTCTTCAGAACTCTCAGGACTACAGCTGATGTCAGACTCAGAGCTAGCAATCTGTGGTGATGGGAATGAAAATGGCCCCCATAGGCTCATAGGGAGTGGCACTGTTAGGAGGTGTGAACTTGTTGAAGGAAATGTGTAATTGGGGCTTGACTTTGAGGTTTCAAATGCTTAAGCCAGGCCCCATGTCACTGTCTCTTCCTGCAGCCTAGGAATCTGGATGTAGAACTCTGAGCTACTTTTCCAGCACTATGTGTGCCTGCATGCCACCATGATAATAATGGATTAAACCTCTGAACTGTAAGCCATCCCCAATTAAATGCTTTCCTTTATAAGCGTTGCTGTGGTCTTGGTGCCTCTTCACAGCAATAAAATCTCTAACACAACCTCCCAGGCTATTTGTTGCTAGCCATCAAAGGCAGGGCTACCTTTCTCTGTGCAGTTAAGTCTGGACAGACCTTGTCACCTAAGCTTTTCAGTTTGGTAGCGCTCTCCACGAAGTCCTCCTAAGGCTGTCCTTTTCCTTAGACATGTAGCAAGTTAAATTTAGACTGGTTAGTGAGATGACTCCATTTTATACAAGTTCTCAAGATGGCACTCATCTAGTTGATAAACAGGGTTACTTTCCACTGCCCATCTGACTATAAGAGCATTTACTCTCTCACCAAAACCTGCAGCTGGATTTAAGGCTTTGAGGCTATGAACTTATCCCCAGGGTAGGACTGTCAGTCTCTTCACCAGAGCTGCCTTGCTTACCTTTTTGATGAAGCTCTGCTCCCCCTCCCCTCTCTGCCAGAGAAGTGTACTGCTGTATAATTAACTTAGTTTACCACTTTCAGCACACTGCCCATCTTTTCCTACATACTTCAGACTGGTCTATCACCATCTTCATGGACTTCCAAGTTCTCTATCAGATAGAGTATGTCTTTCCTTATTCTGACTCTTTACAAAGTCACACTCAGGCAGCCTCTAGTCTGTCATGTTACCTCAAAGTGCTGCTCATGTTCTTTCAAAACTAATGCTGGTAAACAACAGAACCATTAGAATGCATCAGATTCAACTGCATACATTTACCAATGTTCTAACTGAAATCACACATTGCACCTAGGATGAATTTAAAGGGCAGAATCAAAGCCCTATTGCTTACAGCAGTGTCCTTAAGTCTGCTCATTTGCTTTCTCCTTCCCTCTTCCATTTCCCTCTCCTTTCCCCTGCTACTGACTTGTTCAGATTTTGCTTCTAATAAACCAAGTACACTCAGAAGTTATGTCTTGGGCTCTACTTTCTAGAGGTTCTAGTCAAATTTAAGAGAACACCTTTCAATGGATATATGCCATCTATTTATCCTCATCTATCACCCACAAGTCTAATTGTCTTTCTCTTTGGTCTCTTTGTCTGAGCTTCCACTAGAAATTGCTACTGCCTCCATTAGCATTATTCTCTGTCCAACTCTAATCATGTTAGCTTAATGGTATACACACAGACAACACTCAACTCTTTAATTCACAAAGCAAAGTTCTAAGTTAGGCATATTCCTGTCTACATACAAGTAAATCAATGTTCAGAGTAATCACACTGCTAGTAAGCTTCCAGAAAATCTGAGATCACAAAATCTGTGCCTGTTACAGTATAGCAAGTTATATCATACAGTGACAGAATTCCTCCCAAGTTTGAAAACACAGGAGCCTCCTCATTTAGGAAGAGAAACCCAAGACTACAGAGACATCAGCAAGTGAGGATATTCCAAAGAGGAAAGTAATATGACTGTCAGAGTTAGGAATGAGCACCATCCTAAGAGTCAGGCTCTGTTGCCATGCATCTGAGAACAGGTTAGGTCAGCTTGCACATGTTCCCCATCACACATACCCAACACAGTTTGCTGTAGTCACTAGAGGTTTCACAGTAGAAAACTGTGAAATGATGAGAATAGCCAAGGAAACACGCTACACAGACTATGACAACTGCCTTCTTACCCAGGACATGTCTGAATGTAACCCTGAACCTCACCACAGTCACTTAGATAATTACTGTTCTTACCTGTCCTCTGAAAGAATTTAAGACACTAGGAAGCATGTACAATGCCTGGCATGGAGCAGATGCCTACTAAGTGTAATTGTCTACTCTGTCAATGAGAGTTTTGAAGACTTAGAATGAAAACAAAGCTGGAATCACAGAGGCAAGAAAACATTGCCTCATACCTCCATGACCTTACTTACAATGGGTTCCCAGCATGCTCAAGGAAGACAGAATCATTGTTTTAAGGAATCACTACATGTGGTGATGAAATGGCTGTTAAATGCTGACTCTGCATGTCAAACAGAGTGACAGGATGTTATTAAAAAATGACAGTGACAATGGCAGTAGATTCGGTTTATTAGGGAGGAAGAAGTATGCTTCAGTTTGAACACGTGAAGTTTGCACATTTTAGTATGAACATGGAGTTGAAATAATGTAGGAACACGGGCTTTCCTTGAAATTCTAAGAATAACAAGTTCCTGTGAGGAGAAAGTGCATTACTTCAACAGGCAGTGGAGTCACAGACGACCACAAGGAGTACACATTTATTTGCCAAGCAAGTATGAGGAGGAATCCCACCACCGAGGCTTGTTCTCATCTGTCTGTCTGGCCAATGAAATATTGTTTTGAAGGAAACACCCTCTCCAGTTCATCGCTCACATTCCAATATAATGATTTGAAGAATAAAAGGAAAAATAAATCTTACCTGACACTTATCAAAATCGATCTGCTTCTCCAAAGTAATTCTCTCAAAGAAAAGTTCTGCCCTCTATAGCTGCTAACAGGCCTCACACATTGTTTTAGGCTCCATAGTAACTGGGTGTATGCACATAATCTGATACATCCTTTAAAGATCCAAATTTAAGAGTTAACTTTCTCACTCATTGGCAAATAAGCAAGCAGAACATTTAACATTTTCTGTTAATGAAGCATTCAATTTGCTGGCTGCTAACAAAGTGATTGAAACCTGAGATGCAGGTTTAGTGTTCACTACTGCAAACTCTTGGGAAGGAACACATTTTGGATTTGGTGTTTTCTTGGCTACTGTGATTTTTACACTTTATCATGACACATTCTTGGCATGAGAGTAAAGTCTAAACATGAACTTTACTACTGTTTCATGTACAATTTAAGCACATAACTTGAAGACACTGTACACTGCATCTTTAGTCAGCTTGTATTGTGACAGCGATACTGTCACATGCGATGAGATGTTGAACTTTTGTCTCACGGAGTCCAGTTGGCATTCCACACTTGAACATTCAGACTTTTGTGTTAGGAACATTTAGTCTGTATTACAGCACTAAGCATTACTTTAACCAAGGTCACCGGAGGCTGAGCATAACTGAATGCAGTGCTCATCTGCATATGTGACAAGAATCAAGGCAACACCACTATCACAGGATAAGGACCATTACTGGCTCTGTTTCTGAAAACAAGATGTAAATTCAATGTCCAAGTTTTCATGATAGAAAACTGTAAAGCCACCATTTTAAACACAAATAAACAATAAATCAGTATTGAAACATAGACATTAGTAAATTTACTCCACACATGGGTTATAGGCACTAATTTTCACTTTAATATGCAAATTTAAGCAAGTACCTACAATGACTTCTGCTAAAGCATTCATCAGTAGGATCTTTGACAAAGTTTAGGTATCACAAGCAAATACAGAGGGCTATACTTTATGTATGGTGATCTTTGGCACATTTATCAGTTGGAAAATCTCAAAAGGCAATAAAAATTTCTCAGTGTTTTGCACATTCTTTTAAACTTCACATCAAAACATAAGGCCGCAAAAAGGCAAGCTGAAATTTTAGGATATGTGGAATATTTTAATAGAGTTATACATACAGTACCTTACATATAGAACAGTGTGTTTGCAAATTTAAATAATATCTGAATGTACAGTGGCATGAATTCTTATCAAAGATAAATTCAAGTTCACTGTCTATCAGTTCTAAATGAGTTTATACAGATTCCCAGAACTGATAAACAGAGTGAGGCAAAAAAATATTCAAGTGTAATGTCATCAAACAGCCTCCTTTTAACAGTCTTTTCTCTCTCTTTTAAAAAAATTTCAAAACCTGTACATACATTTTTAGTTTTTAAAAACAGTCTATTAAAAGGTAACATTTTATGTTAACCACCGATTTGTATAGTCTATAGTAATAAAACTAGATATGTGTGATATAAATATGTGTTGATTATGTACATATGTACGTTGACTATTCAAACAAGCAGACTCACTTACACATACCTGCGCATGTAGCACTGGGGGGTGCACACAACTCGCACCAGGACTGGCAGACAGTAGGACCGAGGCTCAAAAATCCAGCAAGAGCTGAGTAAGCAACTTAGTTGCCTTTGGTTTCATAAATCTGTCCATTTATGATCAAAACTAAAATTTTGTGTATATTTATCTTTTAAAATAAAATTTTTCTTCAGAATGAAGCTTTTCCAGTATTCCACTACTAGCAGTTATTACTTTGATATTTTTGTCACTCCTCATCCCAGCTGAGGTTTATAGTTTTTTTTTTTTCAAAAGGCAAACACACCAAGTGTATCCAGGATCAAACTGTATGCTGAAGGCTGACGGCCACCACTCACCTACACGGGGCACACACTGCACATGGTGTGCAGGACTGGGTGGGTGACTGGCATTGCGTACGTAAGGCGGGTGGAAGGGCTCCTGTGACATTCAAAGCCTCTTTCCAGCAGTTTCAATATTTGGCACACTGGGCCCTTCTGCAAGCCACTTTGTTTTTAAAGAGCACAATGCTCGCAATAAATTCCAATTATTTGGTGGGTTTCTTAAAATACATTCATAATAAAGTTAGAATTCCACAATTGTTTCCCCCAAAGTGAGACTTCCATTGTCAGTTTTCTGATTAAATACATTCATCACCCAAGAAACAGCTCATGATCCCACAGAAGTTTAAATAACCCAAGTTTCTTTGCAGCTGTATTCAGTTGCTGGGAAGGCAATTCTTAGAGCAAATGTGTACAACTCTCCAGAATTCCTTATAGTTTCCTTATAGTGTGATTTTGGCCAAATGCTGGTTTATAGACACGGGTATCTCGTCTACAAATCTATATAAACACACTGTATCTCTGTCTACAGGTATCTTGAGCTTCATGAAAGCAACTATGAGAATCCTGCCAATTCTATTCCTTTAGTATAGTTTGCATTCTACGCACTGATTCTTGGCATAGATGACGTTATCATTTGCAGCTTGCTCACTCATTTTTAATAAGTGCTTCCTCGATAAAGCTGTTCTTCGTTTTCCTTCCGAGATGCCATGCTACTGATGTCACAAATCAGTAAAGGACCAAATATTACTAAGCTTTTTGACTATCCACTCAGCAATAAAAACGTCTCAACTGAAGAAAGACTCATTCTTGTCACTGAGTGTTTACCATTGTTATACAGAGCAAAGAGTTGCAATTTGTTGTACTTTGCCCATGTCAAGTAAGAGTTGTTTTATGTGGCGTTTAAGTTGGGGCAGTCTTGCAAGGGGATCTGGTGGCTCCAATTCCCCTGTGAAATCAAGCCAGCTTTCTAGAACTAGAAGAGAAAGAACAAAATAAGTTAATTGGCATTGAGAAGAACAGCCAGAAGACAATCAACTAGAAGGATTAATGGTGACTGAAACAAAGAGTTCACTTCCCTGTCTTCAGAAGGCCAATGCCTTTAATCATTCCACCCACAACAGTTCTGACCCTTCTGCATAATCGTCATCTGCTATCTCAGACACTTTTCCCCCTGAAATACCAGGTATTGAACCCAGAGTAAGTGTTCCACCACTGAGCTATATACCCAGACCCATTCCCTGCCACCCTATATGTAATATTCACACATAAATACACACTTCATTTAGAAAGTCTTCCTCTAGTGTATGTAATATGCATAAATACACATTCAGTAATGTCTACTACTTTCTTCTACAACAGAATGAACAGTTCCCTGTGTCTGCTCAAACTTTCTAATTTTAGATGTCATGTTTACTTCATCTTCTTCTTTGTGTGCATGTGTTTATGTGCAGAAATACGACTGTGTGCATGTGACAGTCAGAAGACAAAGACGATGTTGTTCCTTAGACACCACCCACCTTTTGTGGAGACCAGGTCTCTCACTGGCCAGGAATGTTGCCAAGTATGTAGGTTAGGTGGCCCCAAGTGCCAGGAATCAATTTGTCTCCACCTCCCATCTCATCTTTGGGATTACAATTGGGATTACAAGTGCATGCCACCACACCTGGCTTTTATGTGCATGGCTTCTAGGGATTAGGACTTAGATCCTCACACTTGCAAAGTAAATGCTTTCCCCTTGAGCTTCAACAAAGGAAAGGGGTAGCAACTTCTCAGTGTCCTTCCAGGATCACTGCTTCATTGAAACATTTTAAAAAATGCATGCAAGTGGACTAAAATACTCAGTAGAATTCAGTTACATGCTCAATTTTCATTGTTTCCTTTAAAAAGCTATTAAAGTATATGGAATTGTCAAGATACAGTTTCATTTCTTCAAAAATCCACACAGTACAAACTAACCCTGTCTGATGAAATTAAAATCAAATGCAAGATGCTCCTAAAACAGGTATCCACTTTGTCTCTTAAGGGAGAGGAAGGCAAAAGTAGTGTGTCTACCTTAACACAATGGCATGTCTACAGGGAGAGGACTAAGGGGTGGAGGCAGATTATGTTCTATAAGGTCAGGACAAAATGGTCAAAGCAAAGGAGACATGTGGGATTGAGATTCCTGGAATTCAATTGATTCTTGTTTCTCAAATATAAAATGGGGGTATTTTCTGGCTACTTTTCTATATGATGATACAATTTACAAAGATGTGAGAGAACATTACTTGAAAATTTGCATGTAAACAGGAATCAATTCTATTTAATAAATGCTAGCCAAAGTGGAAACGAATATGCTTATGAATATGCTTTCAAAGAGAATATTCTTCAATGAATCCAGCAAACACTCCCCAAATATTCCATATTGAACCAGGCATGTGAGTATTTAATAAATATCCAAGTTAGGAATAAAGCAAAATGGACGCGAAACCACTACTAAGGATAATGCCGCTGTCTTGCACTGAGCCTATTACACGCTGCGTAGGCTACACACAGTATAAAGGGAGAGACAGAGTGCAGCAGGCAGGCAGTGTATCTGTAGTTTGCACCCTACAACTTAGCTCCAAACAGCTTCTTCATAACAGCACTATACACATGACAACAGTTACACCTGGGCTTTTTGGCTACATTACCATCTACTTCTTTTTCTATGAGGTCCATCCTGCTGGTGACTTCATTCTGCACGTTTTCTATGTGTGTAAGGAGATTTAGCTGCCACTGAAGATGTGAGTCTCCTGGGTCCTCTGTGCCCTTTTTCTCATTATAAACAAACACTTTGTTCCCGGAAGCTGGATTCTTCTCCAAAGGACCAATGGGAAAAATAGAAAAACAGAATAAAACAAAACACAGAGAACTGGATGTAATGCTACTTCCAAACAGGAAAGGTAGAGTAAAACCCATCACCCTACATAGGTGGGCAGATTAGCACTGGCTCATCTGCCTCTGAGAAAGTCTTTGGAGAAAGTACCTGCACACAATCAAATTCCATCTGGTGTTCTTCTAAGCTAAAGGTGTGGTTAGATCCCTCCCCAGTGCCTTCCAGAGTGTGCCCCACAGGAGAAAGCTTCAGAAAAATGTGCTAAATAAATAAAAACACTAATTCCATTCCATAACTGGAATGACTAGTGATGTGAGCCATTTTCTTCCCTGATTAATTTTAACGGGTGACATAAATAGAGTGAAGGCAGAGCAGTGATTAGAAAAAAATCAAGTAAACTATGAAAGACTGGTTGAAAAATTCAGTTAATAATAGATTGCTTTACTACTGTAGTTATACTGATGAGCTAAAGGGGTAAGGATCTTTTAAAACTTCAAAATACACTGTTTAACACACACACACACACACACACACAATCTAGATTTAGATTTTCCAAAGGAAATTGGTTTCATAGAAGGATATCAATTTGACAAAATAATTTACTATAAATTTCATGAAATATAAGCTTTCTAAATTCAGTTATGAACTTCTGGTGATGACTTTAAAAGCCAGAATAATAAAGAACTAGTCTTAAAGTTGCCTTGCTAGGGGAAAAATCAACAAAGCATTAGGACCCATTTCCATCTCAGTGCTAATCTCAACAAACAGGAGACATGTTTACAGACAGTTACTGCATAATGGGATTGATATGCAGACAAATATGCGACAGATTAGGAAAGACAGAAAGGGAGAAAATTAGGATACCATATATACCAGAATGGTCCCACACAAACTCATTTTTCCATATGACATGGCTCATTAATTTCTGGAGACATCTAAGTGTGCTTATGGACTTTAGGGTAGCAGCTGAATGGATTATAACAACTCAGTGTTTACATGGATAATGTTTTGTGGTGGAGAAAAGATAAGATAATCCTTAAACAGGTATATCTGTATTAGCAAAGCCCAAGGACTAGACGTGTCTGATGGACCAGCTCCTCCTCTTGCTCCATGGGAACCATTACCTTCTCTGACAGTCCATGCTCTCTTGCTGAGTACAGAAAATGGCTTTTATGTCCCATGTGAAGTTCTCCATCATCTTCAAAGCTGCTAGCATCATCATCATCAGAGCTTCCAGGCTCTGTGAGAGACTGGTAGCCCTGACTAAAGCTTTGTGGCTTCTGATAGCTGTGTTCACTGGTTATATAAGTTCCTTCCACTGTCGGGGGCGGGTCTTTGTGGTTCTGTATGTGTTTCTTTCCCTCTGAGTTAGCTATGTCTTGAGGTGTCAGTTTTTTCTCTGCTCCAGCTACTATCTGATCTTGGTCTTTTCTCTTCCCAGAACAAGCCCAGAGCTGAAGGTCCGGATGATGTTTATTCCTTAAAACAAAAAATAGAGAAACAGCACTTCAGGAAAAGAATGGCAATAATGTAAAAATTATAGTAAATTTGGTAACCATGTGAGAAAGAGGTTAGGAGCAAAGACAAAGCTGTTCTTAAGCTGATTCCTTTATCATTTTATCCAATACTCAAGCTCTCTGTTTTAAAGAGATACTACTCAGAAAATCAACAATGAACTTAATTCTGTTGATTAATGTCACTGTTAGATATACACATCTTTATAGATTTTACACTGTTACTGTATGGTGCATAAACTTTATGTGAGTGTATTTCATAACCTCTAGTCAATCAAAGAGAGCCATCACTACTCATGAGAAAAATACTACAAACAAACACATAAAAAGCAAAATCCATTTCACTGTAGCAACTGGAAATGCAATATATTCTTGCTGACTTTTTCTATACACACAACATTATGAAAAAGATGAAATAAGGTGCTGGAGAGGTGACTCGGCAGCTACGGGCACTTCCAGTTCTTGCAGAGGACCCCAGTGGCTTAGTTTCCCGCACCCCAGCCGGGAGCTTACAACCGCCTAGAACTCCAGTTCCCGGGGACTCAGTGCCCTCTTCTGGAACACACTTGATGTATATACATGCATGTTGGAGCTAATACATACAAATAAATCTTTATATTTTATGTGTGCTTTTTTTAAAGTATAATTTAAAAAAATTTATACAAGTAGGACTCACCATACTTTTCCTTATTCCTAAACAGCGCACAACGGGCATCCTGCAACCCCAGCACACACAGACTTTATTTAGTCTTTAATGGATAGATGGTATTAATTGCTAGTCTAGTGCGTCCCATTAACTCTCCACTGATAGATGTGTATGAATGTGTCTCATTGCGCACAGGTGCAATATTACACACAGTAACTGCGGCCAAATCCATTTCCAGATAAGGAACTGCAGAACAGAATGTATTTTTATCTTAGCCACTGTACAATTGGCCTCCAAAGAAGGTTAGCTATTAATACCCTGACAGTGGTCTCTAGTAAGCTCAAGCAAGGCAGGACTCTGTCAGAATTTAGTGCAAGGCTTCTCAAAAGGTATGACTCCTCCTAAAGGTATGGCTCAATGATAGCTACAAATTAATAATTTCTAAATGACACTCTAATTAGTGTCCTTCAAGTATTTATACACCCCTTTATATTTTCTTAGTTTATAAGCTTTTATCTTTAGATTTCTGGTGATTTAATATCTAGAAGATAAGCACTTAAAAGTCTCTATCAGTAGAAGGTACACTAGGAAATAACAGTCTAGTGGAATGAATCCTGTCAGTTTGGAGAGGTGACATAACCCTCCGAGAATCTAGGCCTAGGGTTAGCCCTGGTGGCACACACCTATAATTCCAATTCAGGATCCAAGGCCTACCTAAAAAGGACAGCGGGTTAGTGCACACACAATGTACCAAGGCTCTCATCTAGCTAGCAGGCAATGATGGAACCGCATCTTCTAGGGAAACTGGCTGTAAAAGGCCCGTGTGTCTAAGAAATCATACTTCACTTATGGATGGTGCTTTGATGTAGCTGGAATGGTTGGTCAGAGACAGCAGGAAGAATTATATTGTAACAGAGGCTACTGAGCTACTTTCTGGGACGCTGCTGTCACGTGTGAAGAATGAACCAGAAGAAGGATGGAGTCACAGACATGAAAAGGTACAGAAAATTCTCAGGTGAAACTAAGCTGCCTGGCTGAGACAGACAACAGGGCAGGCAGAAGGGCAAGTCACAGGCACAGCACCCCGAGAATCACAGGGAAGGATGTGGGGCCTCGGAGCACCCCGAGAATCACGGGGAAGGATGTGGGGCCTCAGTGCAACCCCGAGAATCACGGGAAGGATGTGGGGCCTCAGAACACAAAAGGGAGGGAGGAAGAAGTGGTAAATCTCAGGAATAGCATACACACTCCTTCCTCTATTCTTTGAATAACTCTGACCTGGCATTAGAAGGAAAGAGGCACAAGTCCTCAAAAATACCCAGACACGTTATACCCAGACACGCTATGCAGTGGGACCTGGACGCTCTGTCACAGAGAACCGCCTGAGGCTGAAATATGGGCACAGCAGCACAGGTGGCCTGGACCTGCTGCCTCTCTCACCCTCTCTGAGTCTTCAGTTAATGGAGGAGCACACCACATCACACACCATTATCAGAGAGTGAAAACAGTCTCACCGCATCAGCTGCAGTTAGCTCTGTGCACACAATAGCTCTACAATTTTTTATATAGTAGGATGTGAACCAGATGAATAGAGCTTGCCATTCAGCTATTCATTTTTTCTCACTTTTAAAAAGTAGACTTCAGCCGGGCGGTGGTGCCGTACACCTTTAATCCCAGCACTCGGGAGGCAGAGGCAGCAGATCTCTGCGGATTCCAGGCCAGCCTGGTCTACAAGAGCTAGTTCCAGGACAGCTTCCAAAGCCACAGAGAAACCCTGTCTTGAAATACCAAAAGTAGACTTCTTTAAATATTCTGTCTGCTGAAGTACTGATGGTAAAATATAAACTAACAGAAATGGGTTAATTTGCGTGTAAGAGCTAGTTAACTAACATTAAGCCTCTGAATGGTTACTTGGGAACAGGTGGGTGGGAAAGAAATGTCCAGTTACAGAAGGACAGTATGATTTCGAAACTTCCCTTCCATACAATAATAATTAAAAACCCACTTAAATCTGCTTTTTCAGTTTGTTTTTCCATTTATGATGTTATGCTTTTATTTCTTAGATTTGTATTCAGATCTGCAAGCATGGGACTGCAGAGATGGCTCACCGTTTAAAAGCACTGGCTGCTTTTGCAGAGACCACACAGAGGCTCAGATCTGTGTGTAATTAGTTCTTCTTGCCCCCACAGGCACCATGTCCATGTGACACACATACATAAATGCAGTCGAACACTCACACACGAAGGAAAGTCTCTAAAACCGTGCAAGGCAGTGTGTGACTCGGTTCACTTACTTCAGTATTCCAATCTTCAGCTGTAGCCCGTGCAGGACTTGAGCCACACCACAGACATCAGCAAGCAGATGATGTGTGGAGACTATCTTTTTGGCATTGAGATGAGAATAATTGTCTTTTAAAAAAGACAACCCATACATCCGTCCGTTATTCAACCACTCCTTATCATAACGATATTTTGCACTCCACCTCTGACCTGCAGATGAAGTTGAAATTAAAATCACAAAGGATCCTACTTACTCAGATCCTTCCCACTACAGCCTCTCGGTGAGTAAGACCAAGTCTACACTACTGCAGTAGAGAGCATGCTGAGGAAAGAGAGGACAAGAATCCCTTAGCACTTTTGGTGTGCCTGCACAAGACACCTGCCAAGGGAGTCCAAATGTACTATTTTCAATGTTTATTAATCACGGGTCTTTCTTCCACTAACCTGCTCACACCCTAATGAAGTTCAGTAAGTAGCGATCCTGCCTTCTTGACAGTGGCCCCACAAAACCCTACAATATCCTAGAGCTTGGTGCAAGTACGTATCCTCTGGCCATTAGATGCTCTTGTGTCTGTGTAACTATGAGGTGCACACATAGTTTAAATCAGTCATCTTCCCATAGTGTCTACAGATAGAAGGTATCCAATAAAAGTAAGTGAATGGACAGTCAGTCTACATTGGTTACTGAAGACATATAATGATAGCAAATGCCCACCATATAGGCAGAAACAATACACAAGTGTTTATATTCACACAACTCTGAGTAACTCTTTCTTCTTTGCATGGGTGAGGTTATGCTTATTATTTTTCACTTCAGTTTTTAAGAAAGGCTCTTTCATGAAATTTGCAGCCCACTGATTCTGCTAGACTGACCAAAAAAGCCCTCTTTACTTCTACATTGCTGGGATATGGGCACGCCTAGCTTTTACATGGACACTAGAAATCAGAACACTGGTCCTCCTGCTTGCATCAAAGTACTTTACTTACTAAGCCATCTCCATATCCCTCTCACTTCTTACAGTTTTCCCTTCATCTTTTCCATAGGCATGGGAATGGTACACTTGCCTAATAACCAGTTATTTTATGCCTTGGTAGCTGACACTACAGTCTACACACAGAATGTGGTGCCTAGCATAGAGGAAGGCATAGCAGAGCAAGGGCACCTCTTTAGGCACAAACATGTGACTTCCCATATCTGGGATCCCATTTATTCTACGATAAACTGGGTATGTGGCACTACCCAAAACTTCTTCTAACTCATCAAATGGGTAGCAAGCAATGAACATTGGTCCCCTCAAATCAACATAAACAAGCCCATCTAGAAATCAATACACAAAAAGCTAGCTACAGGAGAAAGATCTCCCCTTTGGTAAGGTGGTCAGTATGTCAACATTTCTATGGAAAGGTGTTTGTGCAGGTGATTACTACGAAAGTCATGCTGTAACAGGCAAAAAGTATCTTCAACCCACGTTATGGCAGAGGAGTCTAGCTAACCAAGAGGTGCAGGTGCTCTACACAGTGGCCATACTCTGGAGTCCGCGTCACACAACCCACACGGGGCGGAGGGCCTCACCCGGAGGGTCCCGACAGATGTAGCAGATGTACTGCTCCGGAATGCTGTCCTCCAGGAGCCCCATGCACACACTGTGCTGCCAGCACAGGCACTCTTCACACTGCAGAGACAGAAGAGACCACAGTGCTGGCTGAAAGGGCACCTTCAGACGGGGGCAGAGACGGCACTTGCAGAACAGGGCAGGCAAGGCAGGACACACATTGCCACCTTTTAAGTAGCTGGCCTGCTTGCTGGCACTGCCAGTTCAAGACCTTTGTGCCACAAGAAGAAGTCATGTTTAAGATGGATTTTATCATTGAAATAGTCAACTATTTCAAGAACTTCTTTATACCCCATCTATTAAAACACAAATAAACTAGTTAAGAGAAATTCCTCCTTGTGTTCCCCACTGATTCATAGGCAATCAAATCCTAAAATCATTTATTGAAGCAAATCTGTAAAATGTCTTTGCAATGACACTTACGACTCGCGGTAAAATTCTAAATTCACAGCACCTTTGAGAATGCCACTGAAAAAGGAGGTGGTTACTTTCTTCATTCCTGTAGCCAGTGTCTGTCTCCCAATTTTCCTACATATCAACACAAATACGGGCCATGCTTCCCTGATTTCTTAGAGACACCCTTCTTATGAAGAGTTTGCTAACCCTTGCAACAAAGTTCTCTTCTCTTTTGGGAATCCTGGACATTTGTGTTTCGACTCCTACTCCCCAAAGGGTGACTATAGATTGCTGATTATTTAGTGTCAGAAAAAGCCATGCTGTAGTCGACCCTCACTGTGGAGGAAAACCCATCTGAAAGACCTTAAACATTTCAGTGTGAAGGTCTCAATCTGTTAACAGACAGCCTACAAGTGGACAGTGATACTCACAAGCCAAGTGTCTACTTCATTCAGTGCAGAGCCTTCATGACCAGCACTGCTGGACTGAAAGCACGTCAATGTGTGAGGAGCTGCCTGGTGAGGGAAGGAAGGCCAGGAAAAGCACTCTGCTGACCTACTCATGCCCAAGTGATCAGAGCTGCCGGGCAGAGGCTGACCAAGTACCTGGATCATGAAGCCATTCTCCTCATCCATCTCACAGATGCATCGCACAATCTCATCCATAGCATCTTCTTCATCCTGAGACTCCTCAAAATTTGTGGGGTCAAAGTCTTGGTTGTACTCATCTCCACTCAGCAGCAGGCTCTCTGTGGAAGAGTCATCCAGAAACTCCACATCTGACAAGTCTGGAACACATGAAAGTGTACACCATTTCCAATGTCAGGAAGAAAGTGTGTATGAGCATTTCAGCAACGCAAACACGTGGGGACTGAGTACATGCCTCTCGACATAACCAGGTCACCCACACACTGCTCAAAGTAATACTCTGTAGCCATTACTCTTTCTGCTAACAGAGGTCATGGCTAAGGCTGATACTGACAAAGAAACTTAGAGTTTGCAAACTTTCGGGTGAATGTTCACAAATATTAGCCCCTCCCTCTTTTTGGTTGTGAAAGGATGAGTTTTATTATTTGTACTAGATAGATAATAAACTTTTAATCAACTATCATTGCACTACATAGGACAAGCATTATATTGAGCATTTACACACAACATATAATATGGTTGAATTGTGCAGTCAGTTAGTGACAAAGGCAATTAAGATGGACTACATGGTGGCTCCCACCTCTAATCTCAGCATTTGGGGGCTAAGGCAGGATGATCAAGAGTTTGTGGTCATCCAGGCTACAGAGTAAGACACTAAATGGATGGCAATCACAATATAAGAGTAGATTTCAAACTATTCTACTAAAAGGAAGTAGAATGCAATTAACACAAACATACATGAAACAAATGCCAGGGTTCACAGTACTGGTATACATGCTTGAAGAACTAATCAGAGAATCTTGTTTAAATAACTAACTCACATGTCTGGCTCAATCTGGGGGAGGAGCAATTGGGTCACTGGGTTGGAAACTACGGAAGACATATAAAATCAATGCTCCTCTCACACTAACATAGGGGACGTCACAGGCTAACCCTTCTGAGCAGCTAACCCTTCTGACCTGCTCCCTTTAAACCGCTACCCTTCAGCCATCAGGGCTGTCTCCTGGGACAGTGTTCATCACGGACAGCTCCAAGATCAGCTGTCCTTGGCATCATCTGGAGATTTGTTCGCAGAAGCCCTGAGGGCAAGGCACTAAGAATGTGTTTAACAAGCCCTCCAGGTGGCTGTGTTGCACACTCAAGTTTGAGAACCTCTGCCTCTTCCTTTCTCCAAGCAGGGTAGGACAGACAAACTATGCTCTCATGTTATCACTCCAGCTCCATCCCTTGCCAAGGGTACCCTCAAGCAAAGGCCACTTGCAGATCCTTGTGGCTCATGGTGGCATGACATTGTAAGTTTCTCAGAGTCACCAAGCTGATGTTCTATCTTGACAGGGTCCTCCCATAAATGTCAACTATCTCTGTGCTCTGTGGTTGGACTCGAGACATAATATTTTCAAGGCAAAGATTATGATGTGCACATCTGGCCCAGTTAGAAAAACCACTGGACCAAATGGACAAAGGGAACTGTGGGTGCTGGTAAAGAGAGGAGCTTTTTCTTAATCCTCTCCCCACCTCAAACTTTTGAAAAGTAAGATCTTGAAAGTCACATGTTGCCTATTTTAACAATAAAGGAAGGAAATCTTCTCCCCCTTAGAAGATGGGCTAGGCCTGCCTGGAGAGGGGTAGGTGGTCAGCCAAAGAACACATAACCTGGTGTCTATCATCTAAGGCTCTCGGGCAGGCAGGCAGGCAGGCAGGCAGGCAGGCTTGACACCTCCTTCCTTCTGCCTTTCCTGACTCGCCACTGACACCAGTGTCTAAAGGCAGGGGAGGCTCCCCTCCTATGGCATACATCACTGGAGGGAAGAGCGATGCCTAACAACCCCACCACAGGACTAGACACGCAGAGACGCGACAGGCTGCACCCAGGGCTCCTTTCAGCAGGCCACGGTGTGGTCTTTTAAGTCGTGGTGAATAAGGCCCAAATCTTTTTCATTTCAGATGTGTATGGGACAGAAATTCAAATAATAATTTGACAACTACGACATGCACACTTGATAGAAAGGGACTACCTTTAAGACAGATTTTCACTAAGTTTTATCTGTAACACCATTGGATCCACACAGTTAACTTAAGCATTTGTCTATTGAACTACGAGATATGGGTAATAAAATGGTATTAGTTGGTAGCGAAAAACATGTATTTAATGTGAATGTTGGGATTTTCCTGTTAGGCTCAGTTTCATACTGCGAACCACAGGTCTTATTTTAATCACTACACAATCACACATACTTTCACCACTAAGATCAACGGATAGAATTGCCCTCGGGTACTGATAGGCTGTAGTTTTCTCCATGAATGTGCTTCGTGGGGCCAGAGAACTCCCAGAAGATCGAGTTAGTGGTGAAGAGCACCTTTCCAAAAAGTCTAGAGAACTGTCTTCATAATCTGAGTAGTCTGCAACATAAGAAACAGAGAGACACATCAGTGAAGTTTCAGGTCACCAAGAGTCACAAGTCATGAGGACATACGGAACAACCACACAACCACTTTGTCTGCCATCTCTGACCAGTTAGATCACTATGCAGCTGACAAGAACAAGTAAGATCAGTAATTCCACATAGACAGACAGCTGGGACTGCCAGAATCTACCTGGTGTCAATAAACTCTTTAATGGAGAAATGATATAGGGCCATTTCTATACTTCCCTCCGTTATACTCACAGCTGTGTCTGTGGCAAGACAGGCAAGGAGGAATTAGCCTATTTCTTTCAGTTAGGCAAGAGGCTGTCCCAGATGTGAAGCATAACTACAGTGATAACTTAATCTTTCTTATGCAAGCACACATAAGACAAAACCTCTGAAGGAGATGAACTGGTATGTCAGAGATCTGCTGTTCTTACCCTGCATAAGTCATACAGATACAAGCAACAAGGGCTCATATAGCTTACTGAGGGAGGGTGCTGGGAATACAGGGGGAAGGGCATGGGTGGGAGTCAAGGTGTTAGGAACACTGACGCCAAAAGCACAGAGCGCACATGTTAAGTTCATGACTAAGGATGATAGTCAATGCAAAAAGGAATACAATATATTATTTACCGGAGAAAGAAAGAGAGAATCACACAAGCTGGGAGTCAGAAGCGTGGGAGGCAGAGGAGGTCCTTTTTCCTTTTGCTTCCTTTATCTCTACCTGGGCTAATTTCCTTACCCCACCCTCATGGGCGGATAGCTTTGTGAGGCTCACTCCTACACATGACCGCTGGGGCACAGTGAGAGAGAAGACAGACAGGCTGTACTGAGAGCAGCTGCAACAGGTACATAGGGCTTTTTGTTTACTTGTTTGTGTTTTCCTCATTGTTCGGTCTTACTATAACCAATGGTCATTCACGTGTGTTAGAGGAAAACAGGATGAGACATGGGTCCACTTCTTTTCTGCAAGAGCGAGCACTCCAACAGCAGGACGGAAGAGAAAGTGGAGGACGCATGGGGAGGAGGGAAGATGGGCCACAGACCATAGCAGCGGTCTACACAAAACACGCTGGTGACAAGAGAGAGGAAGCTGAGGAGTAAGGTGTGGTAACACTAGAGTGGAAGCTGAGGACAGTGGTGGATGGCAGCAGGGCAGTGTTCCCAGGGTTTTCTTGAGTCTGCGATGGGGCAGGGAGTAAACGGAGTGGGGAATAAGAGAAGAAACAGGCGGTTAGAGAGCAGGCTTTTGTTTTAGATGGAGAACAACCTGGACGCCGTCCACATGAACCAGAAGAGCTAGAGTGGATGTGGAGAAGTGCCAAGATTTCAAGAGACAGCCACTCCTTTTGTTTGAGCAGGGACAGAGGAAAGGCGGTCATGTGCAACACAGTGCAGACATGTGGGCAGAAGGCAAGTTTTCACCTCCTGTGTCTTCTCAACTGAGCAAGGTTGAGATGGGTCAGAGAGCAAACAGGTGGAAAGGGAAGTTTAGGGGAGCACAGCCAGGACAGGGCTGGTTGCCACTAAGTCAGTCCTCCATGTATGCTCATGCCCTAGTCCCTGGCATGAGTAAACGCTTGGGTGTCATGGTGAAGGGGAATTTAAGTTGCAGACAGAATTAAACTAACGGGCTGTCTGTAAAGCAGACAACAGGCTATCTTTGTGGGCCCAGTGAAATCCTAGAGGCCTATTTCAAAATGAAGAAGACAAAAGAACCAATCCAGGCAAGACTTGACTGGCTGTCGTTCCTCTGAAGATGAGATGTGAAGACCAAAATCAAGACACAGACCCTCTGGAAGCCAGGAAGGGAAGGAGCACGCACAATTTATGGACCAGCCGCTGGAGCCTCCACAAAGCAGTGATGGCTTTAGCGTAGAGAACTATTTTGAACTTCTGACTCCAACATTTGAAGATGGTTTGTAAACCATGGTCTAGGACAGCTTACACAATGATCACATACAAACTAGAGTGTAACTAACCTAATACCAATTAAGAACTCTCTACCAAGATGAGAGTTCAACTAAGTTCTGTGTGCTAATTCTTAATACTCTTAAAACTCCAGTGAGTGAATGGGGTTTGGCTGCCAAGAGTGTCTTATGAATCACAGAACAAGGCAGAGCACATTAAGTACACTGTTCAAAGCAGCAGTCACTGTCACTGGCAAAGGCAACATTTGTACCCAGGAACCTCACTCCTAACCAAT